CCTTTTCTTGGTACCATCAGCCTTACCAGGAGTAACATCTTTTAATTTCTCTAGACACTCCGATGTCTCATGCATACTCAACTTTCCTGGCTCACCCCGGTTCTCTCGGTGTCCATCAAAGGCCAAGCTTCTTCTCCACTTGTGGGTTTTATCAAGATAGCGATGGTGTCCAATGTAACATATCTTCTTCCTAAGACTCCTTGATAATGGATCTTTGTTGCAATAGATACATGCATAATAACCTTTAGTGATTTGCCCTGACAATACACCCAAAGCTGGATAATCATGGATGCACCATAGTACTGCAGCACGAAGGTCAAACTTCCCACCAGTGAATGCATCATATGTACTGACTCCCTCCTAGAGTTTTAACAATTCCTCAATGAGAGGCTATAAGAATACGTCAAAGTCCTTGCCTGGAGACTTTGGTCCTAGGATGAGCAATGCCATTATGCAGTTGGATGCAACAGTGCATGACCATGGAGGTAGATTGTATACCTTTACAAGTACAGGCCACATGCTATAAGTTGTGTTCATGTTTCCAAATGGATTAAACCCATCTGTTGCTAAACCAAGCCTTAGGTTTTTGGCATCTCTAGCAAAGCTTGGAAACACAGCATCAAAATCTTTCCAGTCTAAGCCATCAGCTGGATGGGTCATTTCATTCTCCACAGCAACCCTTTTATCCTTGTGCCACCGGGTCTCCTCCGATGTTGCTTTGTTTGCAAACATCCTCTTCAGCCTTGGTATAAGAGGAAAATATCTCAAAATCTTTTTAGGAATCCGTTTGGTAGCATCTCCATCTACCCACCTAGATTCCTTGCATTTTGGGCAGATGTCATGTTTTTCAAGTCCTTTGCGAAACAACACACAATTATTGTCACAGACATCGATTAACTCATATCCAAGGCCCAACTCTTTGAGATACTTCTTTGCTTTGTCATATGAATCTAGAAGACAACAATTAGGGAATGACCCTGACAATAACTTTAAAAATGCACTGAATGTTGTGTTGCTGACCCTGTAGTATGACTTGATATGTAGCAATCTTACTAGAAAAGAGAACCTAGACTGAACTGAACCCGGGCAAAGAGCATGTTTTGCATCTTCAAGAACTTTCACAAACATAGGTTGTTCTCCATCTTGTTGTACAACTGTATACAAGTCTGCAATCATCTCTACCGAATCATGATCATCTTCATTGTCAGGCTCCTCCACATCTACCACATCACCTAGATAGGAAGGTACATTTTCATCCTCTCCAAATTCCACAATGTCAACATCAAAATCTTCTCCATGGTGTACCCACTGAGTATATGTAGCTGACCATCCATGGAGATAAACATGGTCATGCACATCTTTCAGACTCCGTGAAGACTGATTCAGACAATTGCGACATGGGCAACGTATATCATCATTCGAACTGAATCTATCTCGAACAAAAGACATAAACTGATCAACACCTACAGTGAACTCATCGCTGAACCGAGTAGCACGAATCCATGTTCTGTCCATCTTCTGAATGCAAAAAAAATTAGGCCTAAGTAGCTGAACAAAAGCCATGAACTGCTCTACCAATCCTTGTCTAAACATCTACTGCTCTACAAATTGCAAGCAATGGGAGGGGACAATACCTCTAAGTAGCTGAAGTAGCCACCCTAGCATGCCGCCAGTGCACACCGAAGCAGCTACGCTGCAGCAGGTGCCTGTCGGAGAAGGCCGCTACGCCGCCAGAGGAGCTGCCCGCTAGAGGAGCTGGCCGTCGGAGAGGCTCGCCGCCACCCTCTTACCGCCTAGAGGAGCTGCCTGCCAGAGGAGCTGCCGGATTTGGGTTGGGTTTGGATCTGGGGGCAGCACGATTGGATTGGGTTTGAGTCATAGAACTGATTCAATAAATGAATAAGAAAAAAAAATCATCTCTGAGCATGACCAAAGTCGTGTTCTGATGGTAAGGCAGCTTGACTCTGAGTGAAGGGTGCTGGGTTCGATTCCCAGGCACCGCACATTTTTTTAATATATGAATTATTCAAACAGATAATAAATTAATGTTCCCACTTTGTAACACGTTTGAATTCGTAGTGTGATGGTAAGCCATCTTGCTTGGGAAGTGCAGGTCCTGGGTTCGATTCCTAGGCACCACACATTTTTTTAATTTCACTTTTATGACGAAAATTTCGGCTGACAGGTGGGACCTCAACGGTGAAACTGCTGAGCTTCACTTCTATGATGAATTTCACAACATTTCTATGACGTTACTTCTACTTTGTCACAGTTGAACAAAGGGGTTGACGCCCAAACCGGTCATCCATGACAAATAACGAAATTTCGTCATTGATGAACCTTGTTCAGTGACCAAATTTGCGATCGTCATACCCAAAACGTCATAGATGAAAGGATTTCTAGTAGTGCCCACTGCAAACTTCAAGCACCTGGGCTCAGGAATAAAGTCGCTGACCGACCCAAACTGGACGTAGGGCACGTTGCTTGAACCAGTATAAATCCTATGCCATTGAGTGCTAGGCCACCTCCGATCACAACGTACGGCAAAACTATAAATATTTACTAGTTGGTCACATTCTGCAACGACAATAACCGACCACTCAAAAACAATTTTTGAGTCACCCTATATATCAATTTTCATTTTAAAATTTGATCTTATTAGTTGTTATTACAAATATTTATCCTCATATTAAGTTAAAACTTTTTTTGGTTAGGGTAGCTTTTATTCAAAACTGTTGTGCATTTTATTAAAACAAGTATTTTCGGTAGCACACTAGTACACACTAAATTACATCATTTTAAACATGCACCATAGTACTTCAGATCCAAGGGCGCACATCTAGCGTCTCAGGGTGGTTGGGGCTTGAACCCGTCGTGCCGCCACCGAAAGCATGTAGTCCCTCCTTTTTTGAGAAATGAATGGAGTCCCTCCTAATAAGTCCACATACAAATTTATATCCATGAAAGTTTAGAAGAATGATCTAAATGTAGAAAAATAAGGAGGAGCCACTCCTATCATATATTTCTACATCTGCTAATGACTGTATCATATCGATGGTAAATCTGCTATCGATAATGTTCACCTAAATTGCCTACAAATGCCATTATGGGTAATAATCTAAGTTAACCCCCCCCAAAAAACTTATTCTAATTACCCATCTATGCTATTATAATAGATAATTTAAAGTTACTCTCTAAATTAGTTGTATCTACCATCATTCAAAATAACCTAAAGAAGTTTCATTGCATATGTGCCTCCATAAAAAGATAGTCTAAACTCTAAAGCAACTCCATAAGTTTGCATTTGAACTACCCACTTCTAAGACAAAATAAGTAGAAACCAAAATAGTCAGTTGTGTTTTCTAAACACAGGCTATAGTAACGTGGTGTCCAGAAATGAAGGGTACGACATGCATCAAGTTTAGGTTTTTATATAGGAGTAGACCCGATAACGTGGGTTTGGACTTTGAACTTTTGTTTTGGGCGTGTTGGCCATGCATTACGTGGATGCCTGTACCATCCATTTGTGGGGAGGATCGATAAGGACAGAAGTTGCAAGGCGCGTAAAAGAAGAAACCAGACGACAGCGCTTCACAAGAACGACATTGGAGACAGTTGTGTACTACGTACTGTACGTGCGTGAGCAGCGATCTCCAACTTGGCGGCTTCTTTTTTCATTCCCAAAACGACAAAAGCAAAGCTTCAACTTGTGCCTTTCTGCATGTCACGGGTGTGTGTACACCATCAGTTGTTGGCACAGTTTCGCTAAAAATAAATGAAATCTTTGTTTTTGGTGATTTGTCGGTGTCCAGACAAGCGAATAGAACCCCCTGCCAATCAGACGTTAAATCAGTGGAAAACCTTCGGTATTTGCTTGCCTGCTGCTGCTTGACATTAGCATCAAGTTTAGGTTTCAATATATATTTCGGTTTTGTTAGGCCAATAGAATTGATAACGTGACCGTTTGTGACTTTCATGCTATCTTTCTATATAATTTTGACAAAACAAGAAAAAATAGCCTCCAACAGTTTGGTAAAACAACTTGGCATCAATAGCAACTTGGCAAATCTTCCCTCCGCGTTCGCAAATATACGCATTACGTGGATGCCTCTTCGTTAAACTTAGCGGACCTCTCCATTTGTTAACGGAAAATGTCAAACTCTTGCAGATGGATTGTTTTTTTACTTGGCATATAATTTTGGGAGTTGGCAAATCACAACATTTGCCAAGTAAAATTTGACAAACTCTTGAAGATGCTCTTATACCGTCAATGCATGCCAAACCAAAATGGGTTTGAATTTGACAACCTCATTCACCTGATGCAGATATTTTTCCATTGATTTGTACAAATGCTCATGTTCCGAGTCACACACTACACTACAAAGGTGTACATCCACTGTTTTTTACTTTTAAGATCCTACAATAGATGCCTCTCGTGTCTGGCTGTCACTATATTCACATAGATACATGCACAATTTATACCATTTTGCGTACTTGTGTGCTGAAGATTTACCATGCTATTTGCATTGAAATTGCTAGTGGCAGTTACCACCACTTCTATCCATTGTGGCGGACATCGACCAAATTTTTCCCTTTTTCAACTTAAATTCAGCCGTTCCTTGTTTTTATCTCTGTGAACAAGTGATGTTTAATAGCTTAGGAATAGTTTCAAGTCAAATTCTATGAATTTTTTTCAAAACAATTTGAATTTTTTTTTGAATTTGGTCCGATATTTCCGATATATCTTGCTTATCCTATTTATCCATGACCTCCGATAAATTTTTATTTTCGATAATGAAAACCTTGGTTACCACCCGTGCCCGGTGCCCGCCCTGCCCGCTCGCCCGGCCTCCTTATATACCGCACCCCCTCGTTCTCGCCAGCTCGCCACGCCTCTCCGTCCCGCTCTTCTCCCCAAAGCCCCCCTGATCACTCCCGCTCCACCAGCTACCAACCCAACCCCTGCCCGTGGTCGCGTGCGTGTGCCTGGCGGCGGCGCCATGGACAAGGGCGCGGCGCTGGCTTCCTCAGATATCGTCCACCAAAACCCGGCGGGGGTCACCGCCATCGGCATCGGCGGCACGGGGTCCTCGTCGTTGTCGTCGTTCGCGAGCTGGCGCGCGTACGGGTGCGCGCTAGCGCAGACCCCGCGCCGCCTGTCGCGCCGCGCGTTTGCCGCGACGGCGGCCCGGGAGGAGATGAGCCGCGTGCGCGCGCGGTCGGGCGCCGACATGGCGCGCGCGCTGCGGTGGTGGGACCTCGTCGGGCTGGGCCTCGGCGGCATGGTGGGCGCCGGCGTCTTCGTCACCACGGGCCGCGCCGCCAGGCTCTACTCGGGGCCCGGCGTCGTGGTTTCCTACGCCATTGCGGGGCTCTGCGCGCTGCTCTCCGCCTTCTGCTACACCGAGTTCGCCGTCGACTTGCCCGTCGCCGGCGGCGCATTCAGCTACCTCCGCGTCACGTTCGGTGAGTCCTGAGTCGTTTCTCGAGGGCCGTGGCCGCCCCGGCCCGTCGCTTGGTTTCGTTCCGTTTCTTCCGTTCCTGCGGTTCGCGGCATTGCGGTGCTGCATGGTGCTCTTTATGCCCGCTGCTCAAGCTGGACCCATGTTTGGCATGCAAATTTGTTTTGGATACAATTAAACTGCAAATTGCTGTCTCTCCAACGAGCCGGCACGAGACTACGTATACCTATTTGACCATATTTTATCCAAAAAAAAATCACTGTATTTCTATCTGCCTCTCTCTTGGCGAGGTACACACGCGAGCTAGGAATCCAAAGTGATGTTTTCTTTCCTTTCATGGATTCCTTGACTCCTGATTTTTTTCCTGCTTAAAAAGTTAGATTTGTTTTCCCTTTTATCACCATCCGAAAATGGTTTGCCTTTCACTTTGTCGATCGGCAGTTAATTCAGTTTCCGTTTTTTTTTTGTTGTGTCAACACGAAATCATCGTAATAATGCACTTCCAATGCAAATCAAACATAGTCTGTTGAGTAATGAAAGCACTGTTTCAAAAAAAACATACAAGTACAGAGGAATAATAACACGACCTAATAAAATCGGCATGAGAGGAGCGCGGGTTTGTCAATTGGTCGCTATTTATACCCGGCACGAACGGTTTTTTTTTTTTAAAAATCCCTGGGACGACGGCGACGTCCAACAGAATTTATCACGGGCCCAAACCCAAAACGGGCTTGCCCACATCCGCATGAGACGGAGACCGCCGACCCAAGCAATACCTTTCAGGACAAAGGTCACGGTCATTTTCGTTTCGCTCGCAACCACCCTGCATTTGCCGTGCAGATTCGCATGGTCCTCCGACCTCCGTCAGTAAATCCTCCTAGCTGTACTTAATTTGTTCCGGTGACCTCGGGCTGACTGACAGCGACTGCTGCATCGTCGTCTGCACTCTGCAGGGGAGGTGGCGGCGTTCCTGACGGGAGCGAACCTGATCATGGAGTACGTCTTCTCCAACGCCGCCGTGGCGCGCAGCTTCACGGCGTACCTCGGCACGGCGGTCGGCGTGGACGCGCCCAGCCAGTGGCGGATCACTGTGCACGGCCTGCCCGACGGGTTCAACCAGGTGGACCTCGTCGCCGTCGCCGTCATCCTCCTCATCACCGTCTGCATCTGCTACAGGTTTCCTCTTTTTCTGAATCTCTCATCTCGTGATGTCAGGCTCGCTCATGTGTCACCGTAGCACTCGGCTTTTTCCTTCTTCTTTCTGTTTTATAAAAAAGAGATTATCGTGGTTGCGAAAAGGATACTTGTTATTGCTTCCAAGTGTCACTCTTCTTATTGCCTCTTCGTGTGTCACTCTCCATTGTGTCACTCTCCATTGGCGGCTGCCTCTGCTGTCTGCGTTAGTGGGGAATGGCACGATGACAAGGAAAGGAACACCTGTTTTCTGCGCACTCAAAAGCAAGTGCACGACACTCTCGTGTCCTCCTCATTTCGCTGCCTCTTGTGGTTGCAGTACTCCGTGGTTCTTCTGTCTTCTCCGGAAATATTCCTATGGTTCAGATAAAGCAGGGTCGATCAAATGGAGATTTTGTTCCGTGGCAAGGAATCTTGTCGGCCTCTGTTTTCCAGTGTTGGAGTACCCTCCTTTTAGTTACGTGATCGAATGTTTTTATTACGCCAAATGCGGGTGAACTTCGTCGAAAGATGAGCATCATATCAAAAGCTAGTAGTCTAGCTACTGCACGACTGATGTCTGAATTCTCGTACTTTTCTTTAGAAATTTCGATTAGAGCAGCGTCTGAATGATTGAGAGACAGAGAGAGGTGTAAACGGTAAATTTTGCTAGGAAAAACGACTAGTAGTTCGTTTTGTTTTCTTTTCTGACAGGTTTCCCATTTCAACGGCGGCAGCACCAAGGAGAGCTCGGTGGCGAACATGGTGCTGACGGCGGTCCACGTGGCGTTCATCCTGTTCATCATCGGCATGGGGTTCCGGCACGGCGACGCGCGCAACCTGACGCGGCCGGCGGACCCGTCCCGCAGCCCCGGCGGGTTCTTCCCGCACGGCGCCGTGGGCGTGTTCAACGGCGCGGCCATGGTGTACCTGAGCTACATCGGCTACGACGCCGTGTCCACCATGGCCGAGGAGGTGCAGCGGCCCGCGCGCGACATCCCCGTCGGCGTCTCGGGATCCGTCGTCCTCGTCACCGTGCTCTACTGCCTCATGGCCGCCTCCATGTCCATGCTCCTTCCCTATGACGCGGTACGTGCGTGCGTGCGCTCCTCTGCTCTGACGCTGCCTGGCCCATGCATCATTAGCATGGCCTCTTGTTCTGCTCACTGATCAGTCTATGAAACTCTGAAGATGCCAAAATTCTGCCTAGTTCAAGATTCCATCTAACATAACAGCATTTGAGAATCAGAGAGAGAGAGAGAGAGAGGTCTAGGGAAATTCTTGGGATGACAATGGGGATATGCTCTCTAAAAGGCCGATTGGCTGGCTATAGTTGCAGACGACACGATTGATGCTGCTAGTACTGATTTACAGTACACGGTCCTTGGAGGCCTTCAATTTCCTTCTTGTAGTGGAATAGCCTATATTTAGAGCTCATCTTTGGTTGCGTAGGTTACCTCACCTAACCTCAGGGGAATTGGTGCCAGACAGCCACTGCACCAGCATCTGATTCTTGGCACCGGCTTCTGCTTGTTCCATGTCCCCCTCAGCTTTTTTCTGGGATGTTGGTGCCGTGATTTGGGATGAATCTGCCGTCCCAATCGCTCCTGGACCGACGGCCTCGAATGCACTTTTGTACCGTAAATATTCGTCGGCTTACTCAAAACCACTTTTCAGTTCCGTGACGATGTTTTACTCTCACAACATTTCAGCATAAACAACAATATAAACTAAATTTCAGCATCGGGGAACATGGCGATTAATATAAGGAAAAGCACCGAGATTTTTCACTACCTTTTTCGATAGTGTGGTTGTCTCAACTGTACCGAGTACTACCTGCGACCACGAATAACAGTGACAGCCAGTAGGAGTAATTCTCAGTCAAGCTGCCTAGAATCTGCGACAGTTCTTTTTCACCACCTGGTCTGGTTGTCTGAATGTTTCTCTTTTTTTCGTTTGCTGATCATGTGCAGATTGACCCGGAGGCGCCGTTCTCGGGGGCGTTCAAGGGGCGGGAGCGGTGCGCGTGGGTGTCCAACGTCATCGGCGCCGGCGCCAGCCTCGGCATCCTCACCTCGCTGATGGTGGCCATGCTGGGGCAGGCGCGGTACCTGTGCGTCATCGGCCGCTCTGGCGTCATGCCGGCGTGGCTCGCCCGGGTCAACCCCCGCACCGCCACCCCCGTCAACGCATCCGCCTTCCTCGGTGCGTATGCGGTTCCGCTCCAGCTTTAATTCGACATTTGGACGCCGGCGGCTGACTTGCTTGCATCGCATCGCACGCAGGCGTCTTCACGGCGGCGCTGGCGCTGTTCACGGAGCTGGACATCCTGCTGAACCTCGTCTGCATCGGCACGCTCTTCGTCTTCTACATGGTGGCCAACGCCGTCGTGTACCGCCGCTACGCCGGCTCCGTCTCCGAGCCCGCCGCCCGCGGCGGAGGCGGCGGCGCGAGATGGCCGACGCTCGCGTTCCTCACCGTCTTCTCCCTGGCCGCGCTCGCCTTCACGCTGGCGTGGAAGCTGGCGCCGCCCGAGCCGCGGGGCGTGCGTGCGGGCCTCCTGGCGGCGTGCGCGGCGCTGGCGGTGGCCGCGGTCGCCGCGTTCCAGGCGCTGGTGCCGCAGGCGCGCGTCCCCGAGCTGTGGGGCGTCCCCGGGATGCCCTGGGTGCCCGCCGCGTCCGTCTTCCTCAACGTCTTCCTGCTGGGGTCACTCGATCGCCCCTCCTACGTCCGCTTCGCCATCTTCTCCGCCGCCGCGCTGCTCGCCTACGTGCTCTACAGCGTGCACGCCAGCTACGACGCCGAGGAGAGCGGGCGGCTCGATGGCGACGGCGGCGGCAAGGTACAGGACGAAGCGTGCACGGTGGTGTAGTGGCCTAGTAGGGGTGTCTGGCTGACGTCATAGAGAGAACTAATCCCGGTGTGGCTCACTTGCTATTTTTGACACGTTAACAAAAAAAAAAAAGAATCTAACAAACGGCGGATGATATATAGCCATATATACAACCCGAAGGAAATAGACAAGAACAAAGGCTCACTTTGCAAAGATGAAAAATGTACACTTATATGCCAAGGAAGGATATAGATGCATATATATATAATCCTATGGACTTCCTTCGAAAATGTTGTGATGATATGGGAAATTCAAAACAGGATGGATCGATTGACTTCCACTCCTGCGCCTCTAACGTGAATGTTCGCTGACCATTTGATCAACCTCGCGATTTTACTTTGTAGTAACGTGAAAATTTGTGTAAACTTTGTATATAACATTTTGTGCGATAAAATCTATGACCACAGCTTTTTATCGTATTTTTTTCATGCGGTTTTTATACAACTTTATAGCTGAACTTATCACAACAAATTTTCATGATGACATTTTATTTTTCATTGAAAGAGAGGTTTTATATATTGCTCCTAATATTACAATCATGAGCAATATTACACATAATATTATAACCATGAGAAACTAGCAAGCTGATCTACGCAAAAAGCATGGGAAGCTAATTTTTCTTTACGGGCTTACTAGCACTTAGATGTCCAGACAGAAGCACGCGTCTGGACACCCGCAACGCATCCGCCACCATCAGCCCAGCGTGTGCTTGCCCTTGTAGCCCACGCGGTGCACTTGCCCCTACACACTCGCGGACATGCGGCCGAACAGCCAGAAAAGCGCACCTCCCTTGGCTATCAGCTAGGCCCGCCAGCGCTCGTACCTCTGCGACGGGTCCGATGTCGGGTGGCCGTCTCCCACACGCTCCCTCTGGATGCCCCCACTCATGGGCATGCATAAGAGCATGCATGCCCCGTGTTGTTCGCCACGCCTTGCTCGCCCTGCTGCTGCTCATCTGCGCCCTACTGCTCGCCTACGCCATGTTGCGCCCCCTGTGCTCGCCCGTCCCGTGGGGACCGCCTGTGCCTCCCTCATGAAACACTTGCAGCACGGAGAACTTGCTACAACATACGTCTAAAACAGATAAAAAATTTGGAACATATGCTTGCAACATATGTGTGTAGCCACACTGCAACATATGCAACACTCAGATAAAACACTTGCAACATATGTCTGAAAACAACTGAAACATTTGAAACACACACTTGCAACATGCTTCTGAAACACTTAAAAACACACCTGAAAACACCTGAAAATCTTTGCAAACATACGCAACATCCAAATAAAACACATGCAACTTACGTGTGAAACAAATGCAACATCCAGATAAACACACTTGCAACATACGTCCCAAAACACAGATGAAACACTAGTAACAGACCTTTGCAACATACGTGTACAACCATTGCAATATCCCGATCAACTTTTGCAACATCGATATAAAATACTTGCAACATACCTCTGAAACACTCGGAACATACATTTGCAACATGCTCTTTCAGCGTAAACATCTCCTTGTCGCTTCGCATGGATGTAACAAGTGTGCTCGCCGGTGGTGCGGAGCTCGCCGACAACGCGGAGCTGGGCGGCAGTGCATAGAGGGCTGGTGTGAGGGCAGCACGAGCGCACGGTGTGCACAGAGGGTGGGTGGTTGGCGCATGGAGGTCACCTGTGTGCTCAATGGTGGCGCGGAGCACGCCGGCAACGCGGAGCTGGGCGGTGCAGCACAGAGGACCGGGTGGGGGCGGCATGGGCAATAGTGACGCAGAGGGTGGGTGGCATGTTTCTGCCTTGCATGTGCCTTCCACCACAAGGGACATCTCTACGCTTATGCGAGCCAGCTCTAGGTACCTCCTCGTCTTCACGAGCAGCTAGGCATGAGGATCTGGCTGTGTCGCTCGAGGGAAACAAAGCAGAGTAGAGAAAGGGTAACAAAACGAGAAGAACGTTAACGCAGTGGAAGCAGATAAGAAAGCGATGAGTGGACGAGAATAAGAGACATGGAAATGAGCAGAGAATAAAAAAGGCAAAGTTGTGGTGCATGTCACGCTACGCGTCCGTCCGGAGGGAGTCGCTGGCATCGGACATCCTGCTTGTAGCATTACCATTTTCTTTATTGTAGCCATTTTTTTTACATATTTTTTAAAAGTCTTTATTTATTTTACTGTAATTGTTTTCTTTTGATGCTTCCCAAATACATCTATATGCATAAACTCCATACATCATCAACCAAATCTTTTGCTCAAGGATTTCCCCTCTTCGTTTTTATTTCTCATATCTAGCCCATGCAATTTTTGCTATGGCGAGGTGCTGGTATCCTTCAATTATTAAGTTGCTCGATAAAAGTGTTGTCTAGATCTCTAACTATACTTAATATTCTTTGGCCGACTTATAAATTTAAAATTTGAATAATATGTACCTTGCTCACATATTTGTAGTTACCTTTTTTTTACTGAATGTGTTGCCTCATAGGGATTTATGGGGCTATTTTATAAGCTGTGGGCACAACCTTAAAAACCACAGCCATGCCCTTAAGTTAGTAGATGATGTTGACAGAGGGTTAACAAGTTGGAGATAAAGCTTGAATATGTTCTCTGCTTGGTCAAAGGCAACAAAAGTCAACATAGCTTGACTATGGTCTTTGCTTGGCCAAAGGCAAGAAAAGTCAACATTTAAAAGGAGGTCCAGATTCTAAAGCAACTTATTAATAACCTGCATCTGCCGTTCTCTTTCTTTTCAAATCTAAAGTATAGTCAAACTTGAGTGCACTTGACTAAATTTAATTTCAATCACCATTTAAATCAAATTACGTACGGTTTGGTCCTTTGAAAGTAGAGGTAATCCCCTTATGCTGCTGAAAAAACTATCATTTCCTTGTTTGCTACTTTGTCTGTTCTAAATTATATGTTGCTTTGGATTGGAGGGAGCAAAAGGTCATAAAGACACTGATTCATGTTATGTGTGGGCTCTATCATGTACTATACCTTAAGTTTGCTGTCCGGTCAAATTAATTTTTTTTAAAAGAGTTTACCTCGGCTTTTATTGAAAGCCATAGAACGGTAGCAGGTACTGGGGATAGCAGTTACATTGATAAGACTCCCACAGAAGGAACAAACCCCTTACTCCCCTCAAATCTATTACAGCATTACATTTCGACAACATCAGACATCAGAATAGCATTTGGCTTGAATCCTTTGATCCAGGTCATGACATCATTCCTCAGCTGTGCCACGCGGTCCTGGTCCTTCTCCTTCAGGTTAGCGCTCCATTTCTGCATCAAGGAGATCGCAATGTAGATAATATCAGTGGGACTCTTAGGAAACTTCTTGGAGATAGCCATCCCATTTCTTGAAGTCCATAAAGCCCAAGCGAACCCTGCAAACAAAAAGATGATTAATCTGGATGGTAGGGGCCCCTTGCCCATCAGCCACGTCATGACGAGATCACTCAAGGATGAAGGAACAGAGCTCAAATGGAACACTTCCTTGATGACACTCCAAACAAATTTCGCCATATGACACTGGAAAAAGATATGCTCAATAGATTCTAGATCTCCACAAACACAGCAAGTTCTCTTCCCTTTCCAACCCTTCTTTATCAGGTTAACAGCTACCTGCAGCTTATTGTTGAATACTTGCCAAAGGAAAAACTTGATTTTCAGCGGCACCTTGCTTTTCCAGATACACCCGGCAACTCTACTAGAGACCCCCCGGTCAGTAATAAATCTGTAAAGAGATTTAGTGGAGAAATGCCGTTTATTATCTAAAGCCCACATCACAACATCTGTTTTATTGTCAGTAAGGGCAATATCATTCAAGTTTTCAAGAAGGCCTAACCACCTATCATATTCTTGAATAGACAAGCATCTCTTGAAATCTGCCACCCATATTCCATTCTCCCAACAGTCCGCTACAAAGCAAGAAGGCTCCCTAGCCATCTTGTATAGATCATCATATAAAAGCTTTAAAGGGACATTATCCATCCAACAGTCATCCCAGAATTTACAGTGTTTACCATTTCCTACTTTGAACACAGACCCCCATTTGAACAAATGTTTGACTTTATGCAAACCTTTCCAGAATTGTGACCCCCCATTCACTTTTGAAGCAAACAAACCATTTTCATTCATGTATTTGGCCTTAAGGATTTTAAACCAAAGATCATCAGGTTCTTGAAAAATTTTCCATATCCATTTGACTAATAAACACTCATTCATAATTGTTGTATTGATAAACCCGTCAATATTAATTTATCAGAGCCAAAAGTATAAATGTAGGCCAATTCAGTTGTCTTTTTTAATGAAAATATTTCGGTACCTATATAATAAGTCATATATAAATGTAGTCATGCATTGATTAATAAGTCATATATACATGTAGTCATGCATCAATTAGGTCAACCTAAAATCTTAAGTTAACGGAGAGAGGTGGACAATTTACTTATAATTTAACTGTATCAGATGTTATGACTGAACGCCTCCGGGGAGCAATGATCTCATGCTCAGGCTAATCAAGGAAAAAAATTAGGTGGATGATGGGTCTGCCCGATCGACGCTGTGTGGACAGGAATTCCATTGGACGACAGCTGAAGGGAGGAGCGAGACATGCGTGGGGAGGAGCAGAGACATGCCTAGAACCGAGACATGCTGGGGGAGGAGCCACGCCCCCGTGATGCAGGTTGATTTTTTTTTCCTTAGTCACGCGTCGACCATCCAGCCTAGGGGCGCATAGGTGGTTCAATGGACCCATCGTCCACCCTATTTTTTTTCCTAAATCAAACACATGAGACGCCATGTATGTGCCAGGCTACTCCGGCTAGAAGCGAATTAAGGGCGCGAAACTGCTTGAGTTTCTCTGACAAGGCTACTGCAGCGTTCCATGTTGAGGTACCTTAGATGAAGTTGTTGAAACCATTTGCAACAAAGATGAAGAGATCTCAAAGCTGAAGCAGATGAAACCAGAGTTTTAGGGCCTTTTTGA